GAAAGCAGCGTTCTCCTGGGGTGTAACCTCTCAGGGGCTGCACACGAGCAGGAGAAGTCATAAAAGTATTGAAACCCATCTCCCTGGCACGTTCTTGCTCCAGTCTCTCCCTTCCTACCTAAGAGAGGGTTGGAAGAACTGCTGTGATTTGGCCCATTCTCTTGCAATGGATGGCACTGGCTGTTGGCAGAAGGCGGCGCTTCCAGTTCGGCCAAGGGGCTGTCCATCTTCAGCCGGAGGGGCCAGGGCTTGCCCACCTTCTGGCTTAGCAGAAGGTTATATTTCCACCTAGCTGTCTGCAACGGCACTTCATAGCAGCTGTAGACAAACAGGTGTCCTCTGTTTTTATGGGCCACGTGGTAATGCAGGTTCCTAGCCACCTAAGGGGCTAGTCAAACAGGTGTATGCTAGTCACCTTGGTAGGCTTATTGGCAAGGGTGTCTTAGAGCCAATTTTTAAATTTCTAAAATCCTAAAGCCTTCTCTCCCTCCCCTCCCCTTCTCTTTTTGGCTGGCTGGCTGGCTGCCACTTCCAAGCATCTTTCCAAACAAAAGCTTTGATTCTTCGGATTCCTCCCTCCACGCTACTTCTGGACTGTCCATAGTTTCACCAAACAGGCACAGTTTCATGAGATGGCAAGAGGAGCAGTAATCCTTCCCTCGTGGATGAGAGCGGTATCAGAACTTCTCCGGTCATCCCCTGATGCAGATCATCAGGGAAGGATCCCTTAAGCAACAGGATGACACAATTATGGCTATAAATATTTGTAATTGCCATCCGCATCAGTACCGTGACAGTGACTAAATCACCCGAGGAATTTCAGCAACTCCCTCCCTCATCCCCGAGGCTTATCAAGGAACAGAATCACAAGCAAGGTGGGAAGAAACAGGGGATATTTTTTTTGGTGAATTTGAAAGGCTGTATGCTTTGGCAGATGGGAAGACAGTGGTGGAGGGAAGGAAGAGAATTCTGATCTGGCCTTGCTAAAAATAAAAAAGGCTCCCAATCTCACTTTCTTGGCTACAAATCCTTTCATCTGTCTGCTTGCCCCAGTGACACCTCTTGACTGTTTACCTTCTGGGTTGGCAATCTGTCGTTCTCAGTCTAGAAGCAAGCCTCCCCAGGGCAGTTGGGTAACCTGCCAACTTGTGGTACCCCATGACATATCGGAGAAGACCATTTCATGGCCAAAAAGAAAAAAAAAGACCCCCCCCAAAAAAAAGGAATAAAACTGTTTTGGTTGCAAAAGGACAGCTGGGAGAATTAATCTGTACTTAATATGCCTTGGGAGGCTGCTAGGTTGGATGAAATGAATAATTGCGGCATAAGAATGATTTTAGAACTGCAAAGCTGGAAGGGATCCTATGGATCAGTGAGCCCAGCCCCTGTTGAGGAGGTCCAGAGGAGAATCGAACTCCCAACCTCTGGCTTGTCGAGGAGTTCCTGAGGAGAATCGAACTCCCAACCACTGGCTCTGCAGCCAGAGACCGAAATCACGGAGCGATCCAGCAGATCTGGTTTGAGGGAGAAAAATCGGATCCATCTTACTTGCCTGGGGAAATGTTCTGAGGCCCCTGTGGCATGCAGGCACGCACGCAATGGCCAGACAACCACGGAACCACCTGCCATGCTTTTAGGAGCCGGTTCAGAGAAAAAGCAGCATTTTGTAAATTGCAGATAAGAACAGATACGGGCCTTGATCCCACCCGCCCATCCACCCTGTCCTGTAGTCTCAAGGCTGCAACACTAAATAAACTTACCAAAGAGAACATGCCATTGAGAGCGCTCCTTGTGAGCAAACCTGTTCCAGGTTGTCCGGCAAGGCGCTTTCTTGTCTCCTCATCAGCTGCCCTCCTACAGAATCTGCCGCGCCCATGGATTAAATGGTTCCCTTTCACCTGCCTCGACCCACGTGCTCCGCTCTCCCTTCGCTGTTTCAGCTTCTCTCTTCCTTTCCAAAAGGGCAGGATGGAGGGGGGTCAGGGAAGGTTGACCCTTGGAAACTGAGGAAGGAGGGAGGGGTGTGACACGCAGATGGCTGGAACTGAGCGGCAACGGCTGCTTCAAAAAGTCGAACAACCTTCACTGGTTGATCCGGATCAGAGGGAGGTGGCACAGACATGCCAGCCTCCTCACGAACACCGGACTTTGAGCGGGTAACTAGAGTGTACTCGGGCGATGTTTGGGCATGCATGCGTGTAGGTGTGGGCAAGGTTCTTGCAGAACGCACCGCCTCCTCTTTCTTTTCTTTTCCACTGGGGTTGGGCAATTTATTTATTTATTTAAAATATTGATTCCCTCCCTCTTTTTTTAAAAAAGGACCCAAGGTGGTTTACCTTATGAGAAAAATGCAACATTAAAAGCAAAAAAGCAGTCAATTGGATGAATATATATTTTTAAAAAAAAAAAGAATGAATAACACCGATCAGGTAAAAAGTGTGGCTCAAAACAGAGTGAAAAGCAACAAAATACACAAACCATCCCAGTTAAAAGCCTCTCCTGGGCAGAGTCCGTCACAACAGTCAGCCGTCTTTCGTACGACGGACTGCCATCTCATTTGGAAAGACCACCGAGAGCAACCAACTTGGATTTCTGGCAAGTGGGAGTTGCCTCTTTCTGGAGGCTGCCCAGCTGGCAGGGATGAAAATGGACCTGGGGGGGGCACTGAGAGAAGCAGAGAAGCAGACAGGAGAGGGAGAAGGAAGGCAGGGGGGCTGAGATGGGATGGCATAGAGGGAGAGGAGAGGAGAGAAGGAAAAGAGCCAAGGAATAGGGGAAGAAGGCTGAAGGTGGAAGGGATATTGAGTGAGACAAGACACAGCCCCATGGACCTCTGGCTCTAACCACCAACTCTACCGACTCACCATGGAATGCCACTCTGGAGGGAAGAAAAAAGGTTCTCCCAGCTTTGGATCAAAGGGGCATCAAGACTTGTTTGGGAAAGAAGAAATTTGGAGGGAAAAAGAAGAAGAAAAGGAGAAGAGAGGGAAGAGAAAAGCAGGTTTGCTCAAAACCAGGTTAAAGTCTGCAAGATGGAACACGGCTTCCAGGGTTGAGAAAGCGGAAGGTTTCTGCCCCGGGAAGATCCACATTTCAATTTGCCCTCAGTCACACTCTGCGTCCCACGGTTCAGCCACCAGTCTACCCATCTACATGAGATCTTACCGAAACCTGTCAGGCAGCTCCATAATCTCCTCGGGGGCGGCATGGAGTTTGCCAATCAGGCATGCCTTCTTTCCAAAAGGGCACTTAGGCATGGAATGCAATGATTTGTCTCTCTCTCTCCTCGTTTGCCCTCTGTCCGCTCTGGAGACCCAGATGACCAACTTTCACCACCATTAAGCTTCGGATTCAAATGCAAAAATGAGCAGCCCCTTCCCTGTTGTGCAGCAACTCAATCTCTTAGACCTTTGTACCTCCATTAGTCAGCGGAAATCAAAACAGGTTTGATCTCAAAACACCGGCTGATCTCATTTACTTAGGGCAAACTCAAACACTGGCATTAAAAGCTGAAGGAAGGCAAAAGTAAAGTAACTCAAACTCAGCCCTGTTAACCCTGTGCTTCTCCCTAGAATATGTATGTCTCCTCTCTGTGCAAATTCAGACTGTAAAATCCTAGGGAGAGGGGCTTAACTTTGGTTTTCTCATTCGGTAAGGGCTCGTATGTGCTGAGGATGCCCACGATAACAATACAGCCAACTTCCGGCTAAAAAGAGGAAAATTCTGAAGGTGAATAAGTGATGATGCTCAAGGTATATAGCATAAATGAGCCTGTTTGGGGATTTTAACTGCTGTCCTGAATTAATTTTGCTCCCATAGGTCAAAGAAAAAAAAACACTACCATGTATACACAGATCACTGACATGTCTCTCTGGAAACCTTCAGCAGCGCTTGCCTTTTGCCAGCATGCTTGAAAGTCGTTATTTAAAAATAAAATAATACAAAACTTATGAACGCCAAGCTGACATTTTTTCAGAAAGCTGAAGTCCGTCCTTGCAACAGGCCTGATGTGTGCACCGAAGTGTGCAAACAGAAAAGGACAAAGCGAGTGTACACAGTAAGAAAGAGCTTCTTTCAACACAAATATACGCCTTCAAACTTTCAAAAGATTATTACCAGGAATTGTTTCCTATTGTCACTCAGAGCTTCTTTCAACACAAGTATACGCCTTCAAACTTTCAAAAGATTATTACCAGGAATTGTTTCCTATTGTCACCCAGTTCAAAAAACTGATAAGGTGGAAAAGGCCGGGTCTAAATGCTAGCAGAGGTCAACAGGAAACTCTGGAGAAGTACATCTTGGTTTAATAAGATGAGGTATGGCCAGGCCTTTTGATTACACATGTATGCTCTGCTCTGGTAGGATCAAACACAGCAAAAAAGGGCTGGAACTAATCAGGATAGTGAAGCGGCTTCAAACCATGATGAAGTATCTTGGTTTGTTCTAACCAGAATTTCCCAGCTTGGCTGTAACAGCTAACCACGATTTGCTGAACACTTCCCTCTTTGATATTTGCTTGTTTACTTGTGGGGAATCTCAGACCCTGGGGCCAAATCCAGCCCTTCTGAGTCCTGCCCTCTAAAGTTCCTCTGATGTCCCCATCTCTTTCCCCATAATGCTGTTAGCTTGGTGGCTTCTCAGTTTGGGGGGAGGGAGGGCTTTTTTCTCTATTCTAAATAGTTGAAACAACTCTCCTGAGGCATGCTGACTAGCAGCAAGGCCTTGTTCCAGAAGATATGGATATTTTTGACCACACCCTTTTACTCTTGTGTCTACCGACAACTGAAATGTACACACTTATGAACACTGACATCTTGTGAACTTGGGCTCCACCCTCAGCCTGAAAGAGGCTTCGTCCGTCTATCCCTACGCAAAGAGTTGAACGGATCGGAGTGTAGGGTCTCGGGTCTCAGCATCGCGGATTGTTCAGGCAAGGTACGATCATCATAACAGAGTTATCCAGCGACACAATCTCACGCCACGCCTTTTATAGTCCACACCTGAATTCTCTGGCGCTGCCCAAGGCTGGAGACGCCGACAAGCTGCGTGACTTCGACCGGCCCCGCATGGAGTTGGCGCAACTGCGATCCTCGTCCGCCCGGCAGGTAGGGCACTGGTAGCAGGTAGCCTCCGGATTCGTTTCTTCTCCAGCAGGGCTAAAAGCATCTGGCTCCAGCTCCATTTTGACGAATTAACTTCCTTGGGAGAAGAAGAAAAAAGGGGGAGGAAGGTAAATTCTAAAATTACATAAAGACTCTGAATTCTGTGAAAGACAAGTGTTCCACTTGCTCCAGTATTTCTCCCCCCTGCTTCGCTGATAGCTCCACCACAACACTGCAAGTCAAAACACGGCAAGTTAAAACAATAACGTGGCAAGCTGAAACGAGGATCGATTTTTCAAAATAATTTAGCTACAGGAATCAGCCCAACAGGGCAGCCACAGGAGATCAAAACCCCCAGAGAGGGGAAAGTAAAAAGAAAGCACACCCCTAAGAGCCTTTAAAGGGATGCGGTGACGCTGCGGGTTAAACCACAGAAGCCTCTGTGCTACAAGGTCAGAAGACCAGCTGTCGTAAGATCGAATCCACACAACGGAAAGAGCTCCCATCGCTTGTCCCAGCTCTTGCCAACCTAGCCATTCGAGAGCATGTAAAAATGTGAGTAGATAAATAGGGACCACCTCGGTGGGAAGGTCACGGCATTCCGTGTCTAGTCGCGCTGGCCATGTGACCACAGAAACGGTCTTCGGACAAACGCTGGCTCTACAGCTTGGAGATGGGGATGAGCACCTCTCCCTAGAGTCGGATACTACTGGAATAAATGTCAAGGGGAACCTTTACCTTTGCCAAGAGCCATTACTTAAACAATTAAAACTTTAGAAAGTGAGCCATGATTTCTAGTCCAGAAACACTTCCTCCAGAAGAAGGCTCTACGTATGCACTGAAAAGTCTTTAGAGTCAAAGACGCCTGCCTCAGGAAGAAATGCCAGCACACTGCATCATCCTCACCACCACCATCATCTGCTGTCAAGTCAATTCTGAGGTCGGATACGACTGGAATAAATGTCAAGGGGAACCTTTACCTTTGCCAAGAGCCATGTCTTAAACAATTAAAACTTTAGAAAGTGAACCATGATTTCTAGTCCAGAAACACTTCCTCCAGAAGAAGGTTCTACGTATGCACTGAAAAGTCTTTAGAGTCAAAGACCCCTGCCTCAGGAAGAAATGCCAGCACACTGCATCATCCTCACCACCACCATCATCTGCTGTCAAGTCAATTCTGATTTATGGTGACCTCTTTCAGGGTTTCCAGGGTAGAGAGTACTCAGAAGTGGTTTCCGATTCCCTTCTTCCGGGGGAAGCCCTGGGACGGTGCAGCCGGCCCAAGGCTACCCAGGCTGGCTCCTCTCCCTTGGAGGCACAGCACAGAACTGAACTCCCAACTTCTGGCTCCTCAGCCAAATACTAAACCACAGAGCTATCCAGGGAACGCTTTGTAATTATATAGTTCTCATAAGTGATTCATTACTCCCTTCTTCTGAGGTTACTCTGGGACGGTGCAGCTGGCCCAAGGGAACGCTTTGTAATTATATAGTTCTCATAAGTGATTCATTACTCCCTTCTTCTGAGGTTACTCTGGGACGGTGCAGCTGGCCCAAGGCTACCCAGGCTGGGCCTACTCGCAGGAAGCACAGCGGGGGACTGAACTCCCAACCTCTGGCTGCACAGCCAGGTATCTAAACCACTCAGCTATCCAGCCAGCTAGTACATAGCATAGCTACCAGAAAAGGCTCTTCCCTTTTCCTAGGCATATTTCTATGGTTGACAAGACATACAGTTTTCTAATGAAACTCTCCGAATTTTGGCAGATTCGTGTGGAACACAGCTACGCTGGCCCACCTGTCCCCAAACACAACAAGAAAAACAGCTATAGTTGCACGATAAAATGAATCCTTTTATGAAAGGAATGCAAAATATAAAATAGTCTCACATGCTTTCTCGATGTATGCTATGCCAAAGAAAGCACATAATGGCATAAAACTGTGAAATGTTCAGAGGACCATGTAATATTTCAAATAAATGCATTTTCTTTTCTTTTTTTTCTGGTTTAGTTAGTGGCATATGGGCAGCCTCGATGTTTGCAGACACAGAGAATTAACCGCTGCTAACTTTTTAGAAACTCACGAAATGTTTTTCTAGTGGTTCACCTGGGAGGTGATTTCTACTCGCCATAGGCAACCAATCAAGATGGAATCTGCAGGTGCTGAGAGTGGGAAGAGGAAGTAGCTTCTCCTTGCTTGGAATTTACCTTTTTTAATAGCAGCCGCTTCTTTTCAGGGAAAGGCTGGATCCAATGGGCGCAGGCAGGGTAAACTACCTAACTTTCAGATATACTGTATATACTCGGGACCGAACCTTGGAAGCCAGTCATTGCCTATGTCAGCTGCAGCCTTATCTATCAGCTGGGGGGGGGGGGGTGCTTCCCGGTTGGTAACTATTTTACACACCAGTAGTTGTCTTGCCGGCTTAAGGTTTCTGATTTATGAGCCATTCCGTGACAGTTTGTGGGTTGAACAGGGAGATAGAACTGCATGCGACAGACAAGAAAACCCTCATCTTTAAAATGGCTTTGCTGTCAGTCACGGATTTGGGCTTCAGCTGAGTGTGTAATTGAACAAACACACACGTGTGCTGCACTCCATGGAGACTGGCAGCCCTGGAGTGTCTAAAGCAGGTAGGGGTGGTTTATGGTCCTTCCGTGTTTGCCAGATCACAAGCCCCATCACCCCCACAGTATTGTTGCAACACAAATTCTTGGGGGGGGGCATTTCCTTACCATCCCAGTTTCCAAGCATGTCTGGAGTGTTAGATCTAACCAATTATTTTGTTCTAATCCAGTCGTTTCCAGCCTCAGGTTTCCAGATGTTCATGGACTGCAACTCCCAGAAGCCTTCGCCACACTAGCGGTGCTGGCCAGGATTTTTTTGTAGTCCACGAACATCTGGAGACCCAAGGTTCTAACCGAGCCACCTCCAGGTAACTACATCATGAATTTTGAAGAAGGAACTCAAAAGAAGGGGGTGAGAGACCTCACTGAACTGCTGATGAAACAAAGTCTCTAACGGAGCCTCGTGGCACAGGGGTTAAACTGCAGTGCTGCAGTGAAGACTCTGCTCATGGCCTGAATTCGATTCCATTGGGCTCGGTTAGCCAGCTCAAGGTTGAGTTAGCCTCCCATCCTTCCGAGGTTGGTAAACGGAGTACCCAGCTCACTGGGGAGGGGGGGGCAATGTATAGATGTCTATAATTAAATGGTAAACCATCCACAGAGAGCTTTAAGCGCTATGGGGTGGGATATAAGCAGCCCACTTGGCTTTTGCTGGGCTTTAGTTCAGATATTTACTCACTTCTCCTCACCCCTGAAAGGATGGTGCTTCCTTCCCGCTCACACTAATGTTTCTGCAAGAGGCTACTGTATCTCTTCCTCTTAATTTCATGCATGAAATGTTTCACTATTACTGTATGTGCCTGTGAAAACAAGGAAGAGACCTTCTCTTTTATCTTTTGCAAGATCTATGGTGTAAAGTTGGCTCTTTTTGAAGTGACAACTGACTGGTAGGACAAGCGAGACGCGACTTACGTTACGACTGTCTTTGGCAGGACCTTGTATTGGGACCAGGTACTGGGAGAAAAAAGGTACAGCAATTATAAAAATGAATAAATTCAGTTCAGCTCACTTTGTTTGGATCCAGTAAAACCCAAACGAAAGGGATACCTTCCTCAGTCAATTCCTTTGATTAACAATGATGCTGAACACCCTCCACGGGGCGATGTGATTGTGGTGTCTAAATGCTGGGCTGAGACGGCTAAATTTCTGCAGAGCGGACTGCCACTCCCCCCCCCCCCCAAACAATTCCTTTTTTGAATGTTTTCTACCATCTGCTCATGTCATCATGAATTGGCTAGAAGAGCTAGATTTACGCACCAAGACACCAGCCTATGAATTACACAATTAAGAACTGGCTACAATCCTCAGAAGAGGACAGTGGAATATTCAGAAAGGGAGAAGAAGCCGGCTCTTCATCTCCCTTGTAATCTCAGTTTACAAAATGAAATGCTTTATTCAACATCTCGTACAAGTAGGAATAAAGGCAGCAGCATTTTCTATGACACCATTCAGCCCAAGCATTTGGCTATCCAGTATACAGAACACAATGCAAGTGCTAGTCAAAACACAGGGTGCCGGTGATTGTTTTAGATTCATCTACCCAGTTCTCTGTCGAATTTAAAGCACTTTAAAGACATCACTGTACTTCTGCTGGCAGCGATTCAGCCACAATCATCCCCATTCTACTAAGATGAGACACAGTTGCTATCCAGTAGGACTCCCTTATCTGCGGGATCGGGATCCTGCTGACTGACCTATCCACAGAAAATGTTTAAAATATTAAAATCCTAGAAAATTATATTCCCGAAGTTACCAGAACTGGCCACTACTACGAGCCGGGGACTGTGCTATGTTTGCTATAATCCACATTTTTTTCCAACATCCATGGGGCCTTGGAATTGATCCCCTGTGGATACAGAGGTCCTGTTGGATTCATACACAACAATAAACAAATCTCTCGGTCTGCATGTAGCCCATTCACTCCCAATTCCCCTCCTCTTTACAGGGTGGAATAGGGAAGGAAGCAGGCCTTTTCTGATGCCTAACCCTACAAAGCAGAATCCTGGATTTGTTTGTCAACAAAACAATCTCTGTCCTACTTAGTTTAGCCCATGCAAAGATCTGTGTTCCCCGGCACACAAACCGTCTATTCTGGAAGATCAAGGCATAAATTCACAGCTCAAAGTGATACACGGACAAGACAATGTCAGAGATTTAACCAAGACCAAGGAATTACACTACAGCAAAGGCAGGATTGAAATTTAAATCCTGGACACAAACATGTTCACTAGTCCTAGAATAACTGCGCAGCCAAAGCTCTGGAGGCTCAGAATTTCCTCTCCTAATTGCTAGTTACATCATTTTTAGTTTAGTTCATTGTTTTGACATATAGGGAAGCAAAAAAACAAAACAGGAAACGCTGCTGTCGAAAGTCCCAACCACGAAAGACCGGAGTTTCACTCGTCTCCTTCTCCAAATTACACAAGTTCCCAGCAACCTCATTTCACACTTTTCTTATCCCCTTTTTCCTTTTGCTGTTTTGAAAAACAAACTGACTGCCGGAATGGAGAGCGCTCGGACTTCCAAACAGACTTGATTACGGCAGTTTTACAAACCTCAGGGGTCTGTGGATGGCAAAAAGGATACAAAGCTAGGCTTGAATCTCAACGAAGAGAACCAGGATGATAGAGACACTTCGGAATATTTTCAGTGACTGTAGTGCAACGGTTCCCAACCGGGGGTCCTCCCAGATGTTGTTGGACTCCCAGAAGCCTTCACCACAAGCTGTGCTGGCCAGGATTTCTGGGAGTTGTAGTCCAAGAACATCTGGGGACCCTAAGGTTGGGAACGGCTGATTGAGTGGCTACAGTTAATGGGGCATATAAACCACATCAGGTGGGGTATGGTCACTCTTCCCTGCTTCACTGCAAGGGTGGGAACCTCTGTTTCCTCCTGCTGAGTGCTCTATATTCTGGGGGGGGGAGGGTTAATCTGTAAGAGTGGGACCCCTTCCCCCCTCTCTTTCGGCAAACTGCCACAAGGGGAAAACGTATTCGCCCTAGACATCTGCACTGACTGCACACACAGATGTTTGAAATTCAGCCAGGAGCTGCGAGTCGTCATCCTTGAGGGTTAAGGGTTAACTTGCATTAAGGGGTACCAAAGGATCTGCTGGCTCTAAATCCAAACAAAGTCTGGAGTAATCAAGTAATAAAAACAGGAAGGGCCACAGTGCCATTTCGGTAGGTAGGCAGGCGGCTGTTAGCATAGGAGGCCCGCTGGCCTGATGGAAGTCAAAAGCAGAGAAGTTGCTACCGTACAAACCATGGTTTGAATTAACAAGCATAGCAACAGCAAATCATGGTTCAGATCCCTCCACTTTCTATGCTATTGCAACACCCAGGGATGGAATGATGGCTGTGGATGTCGCTTTATGAATTCAGTCATCATACCAAAGCATAGCCCAAACCATATAGACGGATCAAAACTATCATTTGTCACTACGAGAGGTCTCACACTAAGCTGTCAATTACCTTTCTTAACCACAGCTTAGTTTCATGTCCAAACAGTGCCAGTGTATCTCATTCTGTTTAGTTTCTAAAAACTTATATTGAAGGTTATTTTAAGACTTTCTATTTATATCAGCTTTACAGAGTTCACTCCCTAAAGATGGCGATGAGTTGTCAATATTACAAAACTCTCCATGTGTGATTAAAAACCAGAGTTTAGAAATATACGTAAGCTCCCGCCTCTCTTCCTACATAACCAAGAATAAATAAAATGTTCCCCAATTCCAGGCCTGTCATTTCTTATGAAGCAGAAATCACAGTTTAAAACAAAACCTGGTGTGTGGTGTTTTTTTTTAACAACTGTGCAAAACATTAAGAAGCTGAGGGTAGCGTATGTGTGTCGTCCCCTGCCTCTTCATGACAACCTGGTAAGCGGAGATACAATGGTGGTTTTTGGTTTGTTCAGCAATTGAAAAACTTTGTTTTTAAACTATCATTCCCATTTCAAGTGCAGGAACTAATGAAACGGAGTAAGAGTTTAGTCTTGGCCCTAGAAATGCAGCCGGAGCAAGTAGAGGGAAAGATAACCCGGCTTGCAGAACATGTTCCTGCAATGATAACTGTAAAATGGAAACATAGCCAAAGTGTCTAGACTGGTCCCATTTTAGTACAGTATTTGGAAAATGATGTTCTTAAATGATATGCATTCAAAAAATATTTTCCCTGTGTTGAATCAGATAGGCGTGGACCCTCTGTAATGTACATAGTTAATCATTAAAATGTTAGCTTGCTTTTCTGTGAAATGCGGGCAATAAAAAGAAAAAAAGAAAATTCTTACACCAAGTGACTTCCTTAATATTTTAGGCAATCGTGGCTTCAAGAAAAAAGCAACTGCTGTTCTCAAATTAGCAGAACGAGATGTACATCATGAGAACTGAAGCTGGCAGGTCTTGCTCTCTCTACCATTCTTATGCATTTTTTTCCAGATTAGGAAACTGTCAGACTCTCATCCTTGAAGACAAGATGAACTACAGTCTGTGTTAACCATCAATGTTTAATATGTGGATTACACAGCAGATGGCGAAAAAAAAGTGGGTTATCTTCCAATTTTTTTTTATTTCACTTCTCTTATTTCTTTGATCAGCTGTTTTCAGTCTGGGGAGAGACATCACGGGCAAAGTACAGCTGCCAGTTCAAACATCCCAACAAACCATGGTTTGAACAAGCCCAAGTTTCTGAACCAACCACAAACCATGGTTCCGATTGCAGCTGCTTAAGAAACCACTGCCTATTAGCAGAGAGGAACTTGGCACATTACAGCGATATGGATACTGGCGGTAAACCCTATTATGGCGTATTATGATGATGAAAGATGGTCATTAATTATTTGGAAGGACAGGAAAGTTTGTGCTTGGTCATTTTAAAATACTGCCTTCTTATTTGCTAATGGCTCAATTCAACAAGATTCCGGATTAAAGAACCACTTCGTCCCTGTGGAATCCAATATTCCTTTATACCGGAGAGAGGCTGATTCTTCTTTTATTAAGAACTACACTCAGCAGGAACCACAAAACTGCAATATCTTGCTGTGTTATGATTTCATCTACATGAAAGGGTCACTAAATCCTTCTTATCTTCAATACAGATTAAGAGTAACTCTCCCTGGGGGGCCCTCTGTAAAATTATTTCTCTTTGTACTGCATAATTTACTCTGTTTGCATTGAATGTTACTGTCCTGTGACCCTAATAAATTATCATCCTCTTCACTCCTTCTCTAACCCTTCCACCGTACAAAAAAAGGAGAACGTAATTGTTTGGCCCTCTAAGAGACAAACTCTGTTTTCAGCCATGAAAACTGACTTTCTTTGTTGGTTTTGCTAGGGAATTAGGACAGCCGCAGTTCCATGATCAAACCCAGCATATGGTAGGGAAAAAAAGGGATTAGAACCAACTCTGTCAGACTTCCTGTGGCACAAACATTAAGGAACAGAAAACCCTAGATAAGTGCTGCTAGCACGGCTCCTTTCCATTTTTTATAGAGTTGTGTATAACTCTGAAAAATCCAGTTGGTTATAACAAAAGTTAAAAATAGACAAAACTCAAGTAGATTCAACCTCCAAGCATGTCCACAGATGGTTTCTCAAACTTTCTGTAACACCCAATTTACACCCACCTCACAGCCCAAGATCTCATCTCATCTGCCTTCCATCATGCACTTTACTGTACTTTTCCAGCCTCCCCGCTCCCCCATTTCACTCCTTTTTGCCTAAATTTGGACCCTGGACTTCCCTTGTCAACTACGTTTTTGTTCCTTTAAACCTACTAGGTTTCTCTCCAAGGAGGAAGCCTTGGCAACCTGCAATCACAAAAGAGAAGAACCCTTTCACACTTTTGACATGAAATTCCATGAACATCGGCTTACTTCTACAGATGGGCAAGCTGCATTTGTCCCAGGGGTGCCCCCCCCCAGAAGAAGGGAATGGGAGACCACTTCTGAGTATTCTTGACCTAGAAAGCCCTCACAGAAATGATGCCATCACTCAGAATTGACTTGATGGCACACACATGCCTGGAACATAATCCAATCCAATAAAAAATAAATAAACAAACGTAACATTCAGGCTACAGACTTACATACATATTGATCTGGTTCTTGAGGGTGGGTCAGAAAATGAGATGATAGAAAACGACAATGTGATGATGTACGCAAGTCACAAACTTTCAAACCACCGGTTATTCTAAGCATCCCGGCAGAAGTGAGATTAATTATCTTCCAAGGTGTCAAAGCAATGGGTTTTACCTACCGGAGAGTGTCTGCTTTATTTGAAGAAGGCAAAATGATTTATGACACTTCCCTCTGCTTCTCTGGGTGGGAGATCAGCCCAACCTAAACAGATTACTCAACGGCAACCAACAGACTTTGCAACACAGAAACTGACATAGCAACCAGGCCCTGTAGCAAACAAAACTGCCCCAACATCTGCACAAGAAAACATCCAGAAAGGACCAAACGGTATAATCCACAATATGAGGGGTCTGAATTCCTGATGGTCTTCTCTTGCAATAGAGGCCCTCAGTTTGCCAGCAGTGCCCTTACACAGCACGGTAGGAGAAACAGGCCAAATGCGAAAGGATAAAATCCATATAAAGCCAATAGAGGAAAACAGCAGCACCCTGAAAGCGGTCTCTGGGCTGGCCAAAAGATATCCAAAGAGAGGTCCCAAAGGGAAACAACTGAACAAGCATAAATATAAATATTTAAACAAATAAGAATACAGCAAGAAGTTCACATCTACTGTTGCTGGCTTAAACAAAGATAAGGGCTTTTTATCTGACTGTATATATACTGATCAGCCCAGCTACACAGGTTTGTAGGTGTTGTCACCTTACTATATACATACCATGTTGTTTCTCCTTTCATCAGAAAGACACTCTACAGTAAACAGCTGCGCCCCCCATGTTCCCTCTGCCCCCATCTATCCGCAATCCTCCCTCTCATTTATTCACCACCCCTTACCTCTGTGCCTCTTACCCCTTCCCCTTTCCTCTCACCAAGCGCCAGGGGGATGCAGCCACGGAAAGCGTTGGGACTGCAATTTGGGGGGAGCTGGGTTCGAATCTCTACTTGGCCATGAAACTCATGTCTCTCTCTCCCTACCTCGCAGGGTTGTTCTGAGGAGAAGGGATAGGCTGGGCAGAAGAGCCATGGGCAATATAAATATAAATTCTGCCCCAAAACCTATAAACCAGCCCCCCCACACACACTTTGTGCCTCTTAACCCCCCCCCAACAACTATTAAACCTTTCACCCCTTTCCTTCCTTTCTCTCTCACCCTGCCAAGCTCCTCCTTTCCCCGCCGGGGCCACGCCCCCGTCGCCTGACGTCACTCACCGGCCAGCTCTCCCTGCGCATGCGCCTTGGCCGCCGCCTCTTCTTTTCTTCTCCTCTCCCTTCCCCCCGCCCGCTCCCTCGCCGGGGGTGTGAGGTGGTGTCGCCGCCGCCTTTCTCTCCTCCCTTTCCCGGCTTCAAAGGCCTCCCACCAGCCGGCGACTCCTCCAGACCGGCAGGCGAAGCCGAGAAGGGCGCCCGGGCCGGCCACACACCTCCTCCTCCATTTTCTCCGCCTCTGAGGGAAAAGACCGGCTAGGACGGGGGGAGGGGAGGGGGAGGAAAGGATCCCGCGGCTCCTCCTGCGCATGCGCGCCTTACCTCATTGGCTGGCCGCCGGGGAGGAGGAGGAGAGGAGGCAAAAAAATAAAGTGAGGTGTTTGGAAGAGTCCCCGAAGGCTGAGGCGCGCGCATGCGCAATTGGGGCGCTTAACTCTGGACTCGGAAGGGGCGAGGAGTTCGTAGAGTTAGACAAGGTTAGACTAGCACATTAAGGGGAGTTTCCGGGCTTTGTATGCCAAGACAACGTGCATGAAGAAAAAAGTAATATATTAGCACTTTAGCTAAAATCGTTTGGCCTTCAGGTGCTACCATATTTTAGGGGTTTTCCCCCCTCTCCCCCCCCTTTCGCCAGCAGTAAAAACAGATACACCCTGAGGGTGGGGTGGGGGGAGAGGAAAAAAATAGAAATTCTTGATTTTAGCTGCTCCTTTATTTGTCTAGCCTATGAAATTCATTCCTTCATTCAGCCTTTCTCCTTAAAACCTGAGCTAGCTTTCCTTAGATGTTTTCAGAATAAATATATACAGTATATAATTGTCAATACTTTTGTTGTTGTTGTGAAACCCATTAGCCCCAGCAACAAAGGGGGGCGCGCGCGATGGTCACTGTTATTGTTCAACGAAATAAATAAAATAATACAGCAACTGAGAAATCCAGGATCTTTCTTTCTCTAGAACGTTACTTTTCTCTTTTTTAAAAAAGTCTAGTTCTTATTTGGCAGCTATATGCCTTTCCATATGTATAAGCTGGGGACGGGAGGGGGGGGAAGGTTTTCCTTGGAATTTCTTTACTTAATTATTTATTAGATTTTCATGTCACTCACCTAGCAAACCAGCCACCCAAGGCAGTTTACAACACTATAACTAGATAAATATACAGTATTATAAAATCAGTATTATAAAATACAGTATTATAAAATCAACCCATTATAAACAAATGCTGTAAGTACACTGTAACTATAGTAGGACCATGGTATCCACAGGGGATTGGTTTCAAACAACCACGACCCCACGGATGTCGAAAAACGTGGAAATATCCAACACTATTTTGACCAAACTCCGCGAGGCAGTGGAAGACAGGAGGGCCTGGCGTACTCTGGCTCATGGGGTCACGAAGAGTCGGACACGACTAAACAACAATCCAACACTATATATTGCATGGTCTCTGGCTCCTAGTGGGCAGTTTTAGTAAATACGCCTTTTTTATTTAGTATGTTCAAGCAGTGGATAAGTGAATTAGCGGATACTGATCGTTCAAGCAGTGGATAAGTGAATCAGCGGATACTGATCCTGCGGATACGGGGTCCTACTGTCCTATGCAACAGAACAGGCAGCAGTAAATCGACTATAGGGTCCTAATTTCCTATGTAACAGAACAGGCAGCAGTAAATCGACTATAATGCTGCACATTGCATGGTCTCTGGCTCCTTCTAGTGGCCAGGTCTGGTAAATACACCCGGGAAATACATACAAATACTGTATGTTTTTATATTTCTGGGGTGTTTTTTAATTTAGGACTTTTTTATTTAGTAATTCCAAGCAGTAGATAAGTGAATCAGTGGATGCCAATCCTGCGGATAGGGGGCCATATGGTACTGCACAGCAGAACAAGCAGCAGTACATTGACAATAAGACATTCTAAATTTTTATTTCTTCGGCCCTCCCCTCTCCCATTAACTGAGGAGGGGCCTCCCCTAACTCTACTCTAAAAAGTTCTGATTTACAGGAGCTTCTTCAAGATCAGGCGGGCGCGTGAGAAGACAACGTTGGAAGATGTGTGGATGTTTTTCAAACTCATTTGTTCATTTTATCATCATTGATTTTGTTCATCATTGATTTTGTTCATTTCATTCTGGATGGATCTGATTTTTATTTCCACTTGGAAACAGAAGTGCGTCCGGAGGGCGAATCAAGGGAATGCAGGCTTTCTGCTGGACGTGACTGTAGCCGTTTTACGGACGGGTGCGTTTTTCTCCCTAAAAGACCCAGAGGATCCAGCCGAGAGCATTTTATGTCTTAGAAGTCACCCTGTCCTGCTGGCATAATACGCGAGGAAAAAAATGCAGGAGGGAGGAGAACAAGAGACATTGTTTTGGTCCCAACCACAGATTAGAAACATTCTTTTGGAAATAGATTAAAGGTTTCCAGGCAAAGCTTAAAACAACACACCACAACTATTTTAAAAACGTTCCCAGTGCAAGAACCGATGCCAGAAGGGCTGCAACATTTACTCTGTGTTGTTATCCATCTATTTATTTATTTTCATTTCCTACACCATTCTTCTATCCAAAGACACCGTGAATGGTCCATATCGCTATAGTATTGCATATAGAACAAATGCAGCAATCGAATAACAGAATGCTTAACGTAAAGGATCATTTTTCATTACGTGCTGTCATGTTGCTCCCGGCCTTATGGAGATCCCCCAAGTTTTAACAAAACACGAGGAGGAGAATCTGTTCCCTTTGCCTTTTTCAGGATTCCCAGAGGTCCTGTAGAGTCGACGCTCTTTCTGGAATATTGCTTGGATGTTACAACCCAACCCAACCTGAGTCATTTGGGAGAATGATCACAAGCTTTGTCTCTCTCTCTCTCTCTCTCTCTGTCTTTGACCCGAGGATGGGCTCAACGTGGCCATGAAGGAAGAGAGAGTGGGTTCCAATAGCCAGCTTCTGTCTGCTCTTTATTGATTTTTAAGGCAAGGACATGGTCCTCACTCAGTTTCCAGGAGAACACGTCATTTTGATTGTTTATTACCCGTGTGTGGACCACCATATGTCTTTGAGTTGGAGAAGTCCTTGATTTGACAAACACTTATCCTGATTGAGGGCGATTAGGCGGACAAGCTCAACAAGCAGCGATCTCCTATTTTTAGACAGCTCAGGGGGGCTCTGGATTCTTGTCTCAGAGGGAGGAGACGACCTTGGCAATGAACTGCTGGGGGACTCACCTTTTGGGATCAGCCGAGCGTCACCCACAACCTGTGGCGGGAATAAATAATACTGATTCAACCCACCGGGTTGCACCCAGAAGCCGCCTTGTAGGGGTGTCGTCAGAAATATGAGTGGGACCCTCATGCTAGGGGAGCATCTGTGCTCAGGTTCTTCTAAGCGGAATCGAAGGAGGGTTGGTTTCTTCCTTCAGAGATTGTGAAAACATCAGGTGTAGATAGTGGGAATGCTTATCTATTCTCCCTGCAAGGAAGAACAATCAAGGTAAATTATTGTCCTTGTGTTTTCTCGATGAACTTTCCTGGAGGGAAGCATCTTCTTTAAGGAAGTATCAAAAGTGTCCTTCAAAGTCATTAGGTGGGTTTGAGAGAGGAAGGGTGGTATAGTGATTAGTGGCTTGGAAGGTTCTAGTTCAAGTCGTTACTGAGTCATGAAACTCACCGGATGACTTTGGACCAGTCATGTTGCAGAGTTTAGAATTTATGGTAAAATTCTCCTGTTGATACACAGCAGAAATACAGAGATCCACAGAGGAAGACAGCTTCAAGTTCCACAAAGTGTCCATTCCTTTCTCCTTAACTGGCACTTACAGTCTCAGCAACTCACTCTGAGACATTAGTAGTAGAAAGAGTAAAAATGTTTCATTATTTATGTTGCAAACAGATCAGCAGCAAACAAATAACAACGGGCTTCAACAGATTAAAGAGAGGGAAAAGGAACACATAGCAAAGAGGTATGTGTGTGGGGTCTCCTTGAATTCAGAGGCTGGAAGGAACGATTGGTTAGTGCAGGATAGATTGACAGTCACCCCAGTCCCTCCCAGCCACACCTTCTACAAGCAGCATGCGAGGTTGTAGAAACTCCAAAAAGCCGCCCTCTCTTCCTTGAGACCTACCTTGCAGGGTTATTATGAGGAGAAAAGGCAAGGACCACGTATACCACCTGAGGCAGGGGGTTAAATGTAATAAAAGAGAAAAAAGGAACAGAAGTACTTCCAAATATTAAGTACGACAGAGAGATTTATAACCCCCTCTTCCTGAGCCAGGAAACAATGAATAATTTCTCCTACACCAAAGATGTTTGATAAGAAAACTGGCAATGAACTTTTCAGCCATGGTAAGTAGGGATTTAATTCTGAAGGGCACCTTCTAAAAAGGCAGTTTAAGCCGAGATTTGGCAGCTGGGCAAAGGTGGTGTAAAGCTGCTACATAGAGTGGGAAGGTGGGTGATGAAAAAGAAAGCTTGGAAGATATTTTCTCTAGGTTGCCCCTCCCTCAGGCTGAATGATGGGCCTGGGAGTCCTTTTTTTAAAAAATCCACCCCTACCAATTTCCTTGAGCATGTCGTGTATTTCTGCCAATGACTGGCTCATGCCCCTGAAAGCATCTTCCAGCATGCTGCTAGTCCTCATGAGGTTCTAACTCCTCCTCCAAAAATCCTAGTGATAAGCATCTCCTCGTTTTGAGGCAGCATCAGCCCAGCTATCTTGACTTTCCAGAAGTTTCTGGGCTTCAGCCCACTTCCCTCGCCCTCAAATCACTCTCAACTAATAGTAGCTTAATGCTGAAATCCTGCTACCCACTTTATGCAAAGAGGCACAAGTCCCATTTTTCAAGTCCTGTTTCACTGGGCTTTACTTCCACTGCTTCACTGTTCCCTGGCTGGACAAGCTCAGCGGGTTGAGGTCTCTGGTTGTGGAGGCAGAGGTTGGGAGTTCGATTCCTAACTGTGCCTCCAGGGAATAGAGCCAGCCTGGGTGGCCGCTTGAGGCCACTTCCCTCGCCCTCAGGGCGCCCCCTGGAGGAAGGGAATGGGAAACCCTTTTTGGTCTGGCTGTAGCTCTGCTACTTTGGGGGACCAGAGGAGGAAGGTGATGGGAAAGCCCTTTATGGTCCAGCTGTAGCTCTGCTACTTTGGGGGACCAGACTGGAGTGATTCTTGATGGATGGAAAATATACTTCCAAGTATCTTTTCCATCCATCTTTCCCAGAATAATCAAAGATGACCCCTTTTCCACTGCCTAACCACCCCCTCTGGATCC